AGGAATGTCAGGAGCATCTTAAAGTGGCAAGGAGTGGAATGAACAAGATGAGGAAGTGCTTACCAGAAGACAATTTCAGGGATTACCAGCCACGAGGCCCCGGTCTCAGACCAAGTCCCCTGACTGATGGCCTGCTCAACTCAGCTGCTAGTGTCAACCGCCGCATACAGTACAACATAGGCACCACAGCCCGGCTGACCAGGCAAGCACCAGACGAGCCAGGCTCCGGGAGTAGGAAGAAAAAAATCTCGGAACTTATTAAAAGTTTTCCCTGGAAGACAACCAGGAGTCTGTTAGCAATTCTCCTTATTTATGAAGGGAGGGAAGAGCCCTGGTACCGGTGCACATATTAAGTTATCTCGTAAATGTAAAGATACCTCCTGCTGTTCACTGGAGGTATTTTGCAGTCGAGCCTCTTGCTCTCGTAGGAGCAAACAATATACATAGCTTCAGGAGAAGGTATGACCCGTGAAAACAACAGGAACAGATAATGTCAGTCAACAGAATACACGAGGCGGAGTCACGAGCCATGAATTGCCTCCCGTAAACACTAATAAACGAGTACACACTTCTGGTGACATTAAATTACTCTCGAGTATCATGTAAAACACAAGACTGAAATTCGTTGAACTTTTAAAACTGACACAGTCTACATTATGGCAGCTTAGCGTAACAAGTGACACTGATACAGCACTGTTGTGTGTTAGCTCACCAATTTGTACTCACCCATTTGGAGTTTGCGATGATGGTGTGTGTGAAGGTTGGGGGAATGGGGGGAACATGTGGACCTCCTCGCCTCCCTCCCTCCCATTCAGCTACTCCAGGCATACGTTACCTTTTATATAACAAGCATGTGGTAGCTCCGATAATCACCAGCTACTGGTGGTGACGGTCGTAGGTGAGATGATGGTAATAGTAGTAAGCGAGAAAGTGGTAGGCATGAAGATAGGGATGATGGTACACGTGGAGATGTGTATTCGGGGGGGGGGGGGGGGGGTTAGTGTGGATTTCGGTTAGGTGGGGTGATGGTGGTGTGTACGTTGGTGGGGGGATTTGAGTGGGAGTAAAGGTGGGTTGGAGGTTATTGGGGTGGATTGGGTCTTTTGGCCGAAGGTGTAGGCAGGAAAAGTCCAAAATTGAAGGAGTGGAGATTTCAATCAGTTTATACACTGTGTGGGCTTATTACACGGCCTCAATCATCTCCTAAGTGCTCGTGTGGGTTTAACGAGAACTTTTTGTCTCGCGTGTAGACTAGAGACCCATCACCTGATAAATATAAATATTCTGATTAATTATATAAAACTACAATAAAATGTTAATATTTGACAGACTATCAGAGTATAAATTTAAATCTATATACCAGACGCAAAAAAACAGCTGCTTAAGGCAAGGTGGCCATGATGGTGAGGCGATGATTGCATCTACATGGCCAGTTTTCGTGTGAGTCTGTTGCTGCTTTTAACCACACGGTCTTGAGAGAGGGAAAAAATATTGTTTTACGGCAGGGAAGGACAAAACCTGAAGTGGAAGATCAAACTTCTGGCGTAACATGTAACTTGAGTTAGACC